GTCCCTGCAGTCTCATTTCCAACTTTTGGTAAACCTGTAGAACCTATCATTATACAAAATTTTATCATCAATCCTTTGTATTAGATTGTATTGTCCCTGCAGTCTCATTTCCAACTTTTGGTAAACCTGTAGAACCTATCATTATACAAAATTTTATCATCAATCCTTTGTATTAGATTGTATTGTCCCTGCAGTCTCATTTCCAACTTTTGGTAAACCTGTAGAACCTATCATTATACAAAGTTTTATCATCAATCCTTTGTATTAGATTGTATTGTCCCTGCAGTCTCATTTCCCACTTTTGGTAAACCTGTAGAACCTATCATTATACAAAGTTTTATCATCAATCGTTTGAATTAGAAAATCAAGCAAAATTATTTTGTCCAACATAATTTTAAAGACATACCTTCAAACAGTATTTCACTGTAAACCTGTTTTGAAAGGTACTAAGAAGAGGGTTTCTGTGTGTTTGTGTAAGAATATATCTAACAAATACATAAAACAACTACAAACTTGCAAAGTTTCATCCTACTGGTCCATTTACCAGTTTACGATACAAGTTGTTACTATTAGATAAAAGTTCAGGGTAGAAATAACAATTACGTATTAAACTGATACGGAGTCTAACCACTCGTAAAGTGTCACCCAATTGGTCCGTTTCCCACTTCATGATACAAGATGTCACTATTGAATAAAAGGTTTGTTACACGAGGGCTATCCGTGCTAGCCGTCCCTAATTTAGCAGTGTAAGAATAGAGGGAAGGCAGCTAGTCATCACCACCCACCGCCAACTCTTGGGCTACTCTTTTTACCAACGAATAGTGGGATTGACCGTTACATTATAATGCCCCCATGGCTGAAAGGGCAAGCGTGTTTGGTGGGACGGGGATTCGAACCCGCGACCCTCAGATTGCGAGTCGAGCTCCCTAACCACCTGGCCTATGGATAAAAGGTCAGGATAAAAATGTTTGAGCAACCAGTTCCCAAGTAAACATTTACTGAAGACTATTCCAGTGAAATTCCTCTTTGTTTAATACACCATGTGACAATATACATAAACATGTCTTCTCAAAAATCTAGTACAAGTTAAAAGCACTTTATTAATTTTTGATGTTGCTGCATAGTAGGATATTACATTGAAAATTTGTTAACTGTTTCTTTAAAACTTTTTTAAAGACAATTTTGTTTCACGTATGTATATATCTTCAAATTGTCCCTGTTTGTCAAATGTTTGATTTAAATATTTTAAAACAGAACTGGATATTAATTATTAAAATTAGACTCCTTTGTGAACAGTATCTTCATATGTTCTTTAGTGAAAAGTTAATATCTTTATTGATATAAATACAAGTTACTTATCTAACCAAAGTCAAACTAGATCTAGCCGTACTTGAAATTGTGGTTATTTCAAAATAAATTAACAGTTTATGTACTCCACAAAATGAAACTTTGACATGTTGTTCCACATACGAGTGAGGAGTTGTTAAAATTTAATTGTGTTTCTTTAAAAGATCATTAATGTTTCTTTGTATGCCTCTATAATACTGAGTCACACGTAATTAAAAACACTATTTGAATGTTATCATACATATATGAATGTGAATTGTACAGGTACTTAGACGTGCTCCTATCTAAAGACATTCTTTTCCTACACTCAGTTATAACATATCAAAGAACAAGTGCTATCTAAGCAGAAACTAAAATCTGACCAATACCAAGACAAAAGAAACAGTAGAACTAGGATATCCAGAGTATTGGTCACGAGAATTTTAAACTGCAGTACTCTAGCACACCTGAGCAGCATAAGTAAACTCACCTGGCTCACACTTACACGACAAGCTCCATCACGTCCACCAATTATCGTTAATCAGTAAAATTAGATAAATAACTTATATCGTATCACTCGCCTCAGTTAATTTAACATATTTTCTAGTGTCTTCCATTTCTTCTTCATCTTCAATCATCTGTTGGAGCTTTCTTTTATAACTAAAGACCAATACAAAAAATATATAACACTCAGTTACAAAGTAACAAAAATAATTTTACATAATTTATAAAAGACAGACAGACTATAACTCGAATTTTTTTAATCCTTAAGAAAATATTTGGTAAAAAAAAACCATTTTCCATACTAAACCAAAACTCTTAATCAAACCAAGATGACTAAAATATGTAACGCTAACATTTAATCTTGATAAGACTAAAAACTGACCATTACACTTGCCATCATTTCACAACCTTTCCTCACACATACCTTACAAATTATTCACGATTTTCTCAGAAATTTTCATCAATTTGATTATCATTTTATTTCCAAGAAATTAAATACAGGAAAATTACATAATTCTTGTCCACATTTATTCTCACAGGCATGTCCAAAGTATATTTATTATATCTAAATTCTAAACAAATTGTTACTTTTAACCGAATTTTATCTCTTCCCAACCAATCTTTCTTGGTGCAATATTTTTCTAAATACAAGAAATTGAAGAACAAGGTACAAATTTGTAATTAATTTGACTATTTTTTTGTTTTCAAACCTAATTTAACATGAATCAAGATCTTATATTTTACCACCAGGTTCAGTTCAAATGTTAATCATATTGAGCAAAAATAACGAGTTGTTTTGACTATAAGTAATGTGGTAGTTATTGTTAAGTATAATGGAGTTGTGGCTAAAAATGATACGGTAGCTGATGTTAAGTTTGAAACAGTTGTTGCTACAGTCGATATTGTATAGCTGATGTTAGGTTAGCGATATGGTAGTTCAGCCGATTAAATTCTGTCAAACAAGTAAAGCAGCTTGCCTAATGTGCCATATTTTCTAAAATTTATTCTGGGTAGAAGAGTTTATTATATAATTCATAATGTACATTGTCTTTTGTGTTTCATGTAAGTGTAAAATCTGCTTTCAGGGCGTGCAGTTAACTTTCACTTCAAGCATTAATGAACTTTTTTAATGTGGTGTAAATGAAGGAAACAACAGAAAATGTTTCTACAAGTTAACGGTTTTTTAATAAGGGTTCTTACACTGAGCTGTCTGGGTTGTTTTCTTCATTTCTACACTTCTCAAGTTTCTTCTCAATTGCTTTCATCTTATCCTTTTGAGGAAATTCAATACTTTTAACCATTGTCCAAACAGCTGCAAAGAGAATAAACAGAATTTTATACATTTGACAAAAAGAGAGAATCGCAGAATTTTGTTTAACAAGGAAAAAAAAAACTGGTAAAACACCAGGAAGATGTGAATTAATTTCAAATATGTTTACTAATTGTACAAATAAGGAATCTGTAATAAATGTTATATTCTGAAGTTTTTGACTAATTATTCAGTAGACAAATACAGTGATGTGTCGAGAAGAATTATGAAAACTGAAATTTTAACAATATTATTAGCCATTTAAAATAATATAAAATTTAGGTTACTTCTCTATAGACTTGTAGACAAATACAGTGATGTGTTGAGAAGAATTATGAAAACTGAAATTTTAACAATATTATTAGCCATTTAAAATAATATAAAATTTAGGTTACTTCTCTATAGACTTGTAGACAAATACAGTGATGTGTCGAGAAGAATTATGAAAACTGAAATTTTAACAATATTATTAGCCATTTAAAATGATATAAAATTTAGGTTACTTCTCTATAGACTTAAAAATACATGTACAAATTAACATCATAATATTCAAGGTTTGTACAGAGGGGCTTGAGTTGTCCTGAAAAGGTTTTAGTATATGATAAGTAAGAGAAACAAGGACAGGAATTTAGTAAAATGTTACAATAATGGTAAAACCTTTTTGTGCAAACTTAGAAATACCTTATAAGACGCTATTTCGAATATAGATTACGTAGTATCTAAGGGCTAGAAAAACAACATTTAATCTCATCAAACATTAGTTTTTTCATTTGATCTGTTCCTATCTTTATCAACAAAATGTTTAAGAAATAATAACACGCTTGTGTAAATAGTTGTTTCAGTAAAATGAATGCTCCAGTCACAAGAATGCAAATATTAATGATTGGTGAAGCCAAGGAAGTTTCCACAATAAACACCAGAGTTTAGAAACCGGCATCAATATCACTTGAAAATGCTGCATTTCGTTATAATGGGAAATTAGACAGTACAATTTGAATATTATTAAATAGAATACCTACATGTCTAAGACCTGGAAAACACTTATATACTTTTGTGAGAGAAATTCTACTAGCTACTACATAAATAAAACAATTTCATTTCAAACATAAATTAAATCAAAATACAACATAAAACATTTTCCTTCTCATTCAGTATATGGATCGACCAAAATAATCAGATCTTTCACACTGTAGAACAAAGTT